TGTTCTAACGCCCTGGATGGGAGGGGGAATGTTTTCTAGTGATCATAAAAACTGACACTTCGAAGGGCTGCACCGAGCAGTTTCCCCCGTTTAGGATATCCCTCAAAAGAAATGCTGGGCTGGGCGTGATGGCACACACCTGTCATCCCAGCGGCTTGGGAGGCTGAGGCAGGAGTATGGCAAGTTCAAAGCCAACCTCAGCAACTTAGTGGGGCCCTAGGCAACTTAGGGAGACCCTGTCTCAAAATAAAAGGCCTGGGGGGCTGGGGCTGTAGCTCAATGGCAAAGTGCTTGCCTAGCATGTGTGAGGCACTGGATTCGATCCTCAGCACCACAGAAACAAATAAAATAAGGGCATTCTGTCCACCTACAACTACAACAAATAAAAATTTAAAAAAATAAAAGGCCTGGAGGTGTGGCTCAGAGGTTAAGTGCCCCTGGGTTCAATCCCTGGTACCCCCCATAAAAGGGATGCTGGAAGCCAGGCCCAGTGATGTCCACCTGCAGTCCCAGCCACCCAGAAGGCTGAGGCAGGAGGAAGGTGTTGGAGCCTGGTCTTTCTAGAAGTCTTGAGGGAGGCCCTCACCCAACACGACACTGACAGTCTTTAAAAAAAAAAAAGAAAGCGGGGGGCGGGGAGAATTGTGAGCACAGAAACAGGTGCAGAGGGAAGACTGGATAGTCACAGGGAAAGACAGTGACCTCAAGACAAGGGAACTGGGGAGAGGCCTGGGATGGGTTCTCGCTCTGTGCCCCCAGGAAAAAACCAGCCCTGCTCACACCTTGACCTCAGACTTCAGAACCACAAGACAATCGACTTTTGTTGTGTAAGCCACCCAGTTTGCAGTTCTAGAAAAGTCCCCTGCCCTTCCTCTTCATGATATTTAGTCAAAATTCTCAGATATAAGCATATGACTTCCAGCATCTGCAGACACATGCTTACATGCTCAGAGTGGACAAGTTTCTGAGGAACAGATCCAGAACTTAAAAGCCAGCTACAACCCTGCCCCACCCGACCCCACTGGCACCCCCAGCGTGGTGGTCAGGGCGAGGGCTGTCCCTGAGCCACCTAGACGTAGACACTAGAAGTGTCCCTGGAGAAACACCAACCTGCCATCAGCTACATGTGTGGGTGACCCCAGGGACCCATCCTTTGCCCCAGAAAACCTGGAGACCACAGATCAGGAAACGTCGTCAGTTTATTCCAAAAAATACCAAGTCTCAGCTCCTTGAGCTGTCCTTACCAGGAAATGGAGGCAGGGTCCAGTGCTGGAGGGAGGCGTGAGGAGGGGAAGGGTGGGCAGAGCTGTGGAGGGTCTCCTGGTCTGGAACTGTTTATCACTTTCAGTGACGCCCCTTGGCAGCCCCCAGTCAGAGGGAGGTGCTTGTGCGTGGGTGTGCCCGTGTGCACACGTGTTTGTGTGCATTTATTGGGGGCGCGGGGGAAGACAGATGGTGAGGTCCCAGCTCCATAAGCATCAAGGGGGACAGGCGAATGCGCCTGCTGGCCCACCCTCTAGACCTCTCCCCACTATGGCTTATTTGAGTTAAGAGGTCAAGGCCCCAGGGTCAGGCAGCTGTGCCAAGTGAACTGAGGGTGGAGGGCGAGGCCAGATCCCTAGAGTCCAGGCTAGGGGAGAGCAGGTGCAGGGGGCACCCCACAGCTAAAAGACCCCAAACCTCCTGATTCCAGGGACCAGAGAAAGCTGAGTGTTCACTGGGGGTGCTGAGCAGTGGGGAGGGGCCCCAGGCTTGGGCGGCGCTCCAGCTGGCTCCTCTGGGGAGGTCAGAGTCGGCCTGAGCACACTGGAAGGAGGCCTCAGAAGGGACTGGGGGGGGGGGAGCCCATGAGAGCAGCCATAAGCAATGGGACTGAAAAACTGGCACCAGGGCCTAGGTGGATTGGGGCCCCCCAGTTTCCTCAGTATGCTCAATTAGTGCCCCAGGCTCCTGACAAGAAGGGAGGAGCTGAGAGGCCAGTATTTGGGGGGAGACATAAAAGGGAGGGGGTGGCCCAGAGGAGGGAGAAGAGGCCCCCCCACCTCGCCCTGGGGGCTGGGGAAGGGGGGCATGTAGCCCTTTAAGAATGGGGAATGGCCACCCCCTGCAACATGGCTATGTACAAAGAGAATTGGGACAGATTGTGCGTCGGGTGTTGGGGACTCCCTGGACACTCCTGGTAGCTGGAGAGGGGGTGGAGGAGCACCCTTAGCCCCTGAAGGTGGTTCCAGCAGAGGCTGCTGCTCCCAGGGTCAGGCCAGCAGAGGCGGTGCTGACAGCCACAGGTGGCTCAGCTGGGTGAGCCTCCACAGGGCCAGGGGCCTTCGAAGACAGTTTGGCCTGAGCCAGTAAGTTCTGATCCTGGTGGGGTCCAGGGAACAAGGCTCAGGCAAGGGCCAGTGATACCATCCAAGGGCCGGGGTGCCCCAACTCTGGTGCTGATGAGAGGTCGCTGGGTGACCCTGTCACCAATCAGATGGCTGGGCAAGGGGCAGTGATGCTGTCTGGGGGTACCCTCACCAGGAGTGAAGGGATGCTGGCCAAGGCCAAGCCTGTGATGGGGCTGATCTGGGCCTCCACCCTGTCAGGAGAGAGGCAGTGGCATAATCAGGAAGGGCACAGTGGGGTGATGCCATCCGAGGGGCAGCGGGCTCCACACTACTCATGTGAGGGAACGGGAAGATGGCATGTTCTGCTGACCCTGGAGGACAACTGAAATGTAACCTGTCATGTACTCGACCCCTCAGATGGTGGCTTTGGGGAGGCAATGGCACATGGCTGCCTGGTATATGGGGACACACTGGGTGTCACGGATCAAGGGAGATGATGACACCATGGTTATGATGGACGCCGGTGGTGATAACTCCTCGGAGATGATGAGAACATGGCTGCAGTGGGCTCTGGGAGGTGCTGATACTGTTGACTCTCATGGATCTGGACACATGGTGACACAGATCTTGGATGTCGTCTCTGGTCATGGCATCCCCCAGGGATGGGAGGTGATGGCACATGGTGGAAGTGGATCTTGGGAGGTGGAGACACCATGGCTCCCACAGATCTTGGAAGAAGATGATGAATTATTAGGTACCATCACGTATCACAGGTCACGAAGACACTGAGGTTGATTAGACACCATTGGCTCTCATGGCTCCTGGGAGATGAGCACACCACAGTTGTGGTGGATTGGGGGGCATGGAGGACTCTGTGACTGGAGAGGATCTTAGGAGGTGATAACCCCAAAGTATGGTGGGTCCTGGGACGTGGAGACGTGGGTAAAGCAGATCCTGGGAGGTAATCAAAAGGAATTCTGGGAAAAAATTCTGGCATCATCAGTCTTAATGGGTCCTGATAGAGAAGGTCACCGGTAGGCATAACGGATTTAGAAGGCAAGGACATCACTGGTTATGGTCAATTCTAGGATATAATGACACCATGCTGTGCTGGATCCTGAGAGATGGTGACACCACTAGCTGTAGGGAATCTTGGGAAATGATGACAGTATTAATTATGGAAAATCCTGGAAAAAGAGGATGGTTGAGGTGGGTCATAGGGAATCCTGGCAAATGACTGGTTAACATTTGACCCCAAGTGCTATGTCATCATGAGTGGTGGACACTACTGATGATGTCCTGGCCAAGATCAATAGCAGGCACACCCCAACCCTCCCCCTCCAGTAGGAGGCTAGGACTTTGCTGACAGAGTTGGTGATGTCTCTACATGTGGCAGAGAGAAGTGACACAGCTCTCAGGCTACTGACAAGTGCCACGGCTCCAGAAGCTAGGTGGGTCAGAGTGGGCTCCTTGGAGCAGAAGCCCATCTAGGGACACGGCTCCTAGGAGTCACTGCACAGGGGCCCAACCTCCCTTTAGAGGCTCTGGCAGGCATCATGGTGGTCATATCCCTGGGGTCAGGGAAGGAGCCACCAAGCCAAGTCGTAGTGGGATGGGGCAGAAACTCTGGTGACACCGTCACCAGTGATGGGTGTTCTGAGCAGACACTGCCTCTGAGGGGAAGCTCTTGGTGATCACGCTGAAACGTGGAGCGTCACTGTCAACAGCCGACAGCCACACAGTCCTCACTGGTGGAGACTGGTCCCAGAGGGTGGCCTCTGAGTGGTGACACTTAGGTGACATCTCAGGACAGGGTGGTCCTGGCTCAGTATCATGCCTCGCCCTCTCACACATGGCAACAGCAGTGAGGTGTCCCCTGGTGTCATCACCACCCCCGTGGGTGGCGTTTGGTGGTGACATTGCCAAAGCGCCTCATTCTGGAGAGGTCACAGGAGCAGGTTGTCATCTCTGGTGATGGCATCCCCCAGGGACAGCCACAGCCCCTCTGGTGGCATCATAGGGCAAGGCAGCTTCTCTGGTGACAGCATCCCAGGAAGGGGGCAGAGTTCTGTGACGGTGTTGTGGAGAGGAGGCCTTACCTTTGGTGAGGACACAGCCAGCAAGGCATTTCTCCTGCAGTGTGTCCCAGAGAGATGGCTTTGTCTGTAGCAATGACATCCTAGGACACAGGCATCTTGTCCATAGCAAAAACAAGAAGGAAAGTATTTTCCCCCCAACACTGCTGCCAGAGAGGCCTCGGAGCTCAGGATGACTTCAGAGGGTGAGACTGGCCTCTGCAGGGATATCCTAGAAAGTCTGTGGTGATGTCATAGAGAGTAGATGCGGCCTCTAGTGATGGCCTCATAGGCAGACCTCATGGGAAGGGATTTTGTCCCGCTAGTGACATCAAAGAACACAGACATTTCTGCTAGTGACTTCATGTGCAGGCCTCTTCCTCTGCGATGACATCATGGGAAGGAGGCATGGACTCAGTGACATAATAGGAGGAGGGATCTTGTCTGCTGTTTGGCATCCTGGCGGGAGGCTTGGTCTCGGCTCCAAGGGCCCATCTGGGTCTCTGGACCCTGGGGTGTGTGAGCCTGTGCCGGTGGATCCCGGCTTGGGGCAGGGGACCTGGAAGGCCGCAGCCCGCGGCCCCCCCGCCCGGCCTCAGACAGTCACCTCGTTCTTGCTGGCAGTGCGCAGGTGCTGGGGCAGGTGGTGGCCAGGTATGAACTGCAGCTGCTCCAGGGTGCCCTGGCGTTGGAAGGGCGGCCTCCGGGCCAGCGTGCCCCCGCCCCCGGCGTCGGACATCCAGGCGGGCTGCGGCGAGCCGTGCAGGGCGTGGTGGTGGTGGGCGTGCAGGCCGGAGGGCGGCAGCCCGTGCAGCGGCGTCGGGGGCCCCCCCGGCCCCAGCAGCAGGTTGGAGTGTGAGGCCGCCAGGCTGGCCCGGGGGGCCGACTCGGGGGGCAGCGCTGGGCTGCGCGGGGGCGACAGCAGGTGCTCGCGGCTCTGTCGCAGGGCCTCAGGCGAGGAGAGGAGCAGGTGCTCCTGCGACACGAGGCGCGCGCGAGGCAGCGTGAACTCGTAGCGCGAGGCCCGGCCTCCGTCGCCCAGCAGGTGCTCCTGGGACATGACCCGCCGCGGGTTGGGCGCGGGCGCCAGGCCCAGCTCCTCCGGGCCACCCCAGCCCTCCATGCGGTAGCCGCCTCCAGTGCCGGGTCGCCGCAGCGCGTGCAGGGGCAGCGTCCCGCGGGGCATCTCGGCCAGGTGCCGGCGCTTCAGGTAGGCCTCGTCCAAGTCCTTTTCGGCTGGGGAAGAAGGGGCAAGGTGCAGTCTCCCTCCCGGCGGCCCAGGGCCTGCCTCCCCCCGCTGCCTGGGGAGCTCCCGCGGGTGCGCCCAAAGGGCCCCGGGTTGGGGCTGCGCACAGCCCCGCGCCCCACTCCACTGCCGGGCGGGAGGCCGGGTCCCTCTCTTTGGCCTCTGAGAACCCCTTCTTTCCGGAGGTGAACCACTCTGGCTCTGGGGGACTCTCTTCACCCCCCTCTCACCTGGAGCACTCTTCCTCACTCTTGGCATGTAGAGTCACTGCCGGGAGGTGCAGTGAGTTTTGCGGGTAGTGACTCGCAGTTTGGAAAAGGGGATAGAATAGGAAAGAAGGCTAGACCAACAGACGTCCTCAGGATGAAGAATACAGGGTCCAGATAGGGAGGCTCCGAGGTTAGGGGATGAAACGGCCCCACGCCTGGGGTTAGTTTATCAGAACCCCCCCCCCCCCAAAAAAAAAGACAGGCACAGAGAGGACGGAAACAGAATGAGGCTGGTGGCTACAGCTGAGAGGGAACATGGGCTTCATTTACAAATGTTCTCTACTTCCACAAGTGTTTGAAAATGCCCAGGATAACTAGTTTCAAAGCTTTTCTGCAGTTAAAAGTATGCATATATGTGTGCCTCACAGATCGTGATATAAAAAGCATGTCTCAGTGTGGTTTTCAGTTCAAAATGTTAGAAAGCTACTCCACCACCAGGGAAAATCCCCGGCTGGGAAATGCCTAACCAGGGTGACGATGATTGGTTCAGAGAGTGGCATGAGACCAGTGGTATCCAGGCCTGGGGTTTTTGCTGGGATCGCAGTAAAGGGATTCTTTTCTGCCAGGGAGACTTAAGCTGACATGGTAGAATGACAGCCGGAAAATTCATGGGGCAATCTTTGCGATTATGGGGAGAGAACCTGTCTGAAAATGAGGCCAGCTTGTTTAGAAAAGCTGAGACTATAAAATACTGAAGAAACTCTTGAGCTGCTGGATCCAGCCATATCTCAAGGTAGAGACATGTAGACTTTCCATGATCAAGCCAACAAGAACTTGTTTTCTTTGCTTAAGTTATATTACTGAAAAATGCAGTAGGTGGCCAGGTGCAGTGGCACACACCTGTACTCCCAGCAGCTCAGGAGGCTGAGGCAGGAGGATCACAAGTTCAAAGCCAGCCTGAGTAAAAGCGAGGCACGCATTAAGCAACTCAGTGAGACCCTGTCTCTAAATAAAATACAAAATAGGGCTGGGGACGTGGCTCAGGGGTTGAGCACTGAGTTCAAACCCCGGTACCACCCCGACAAATGCAATAGGTCTTCAGAGGGTAAACCATGAATTTTCATTAAAAAAGATACCCCAGGTAATTCTAATATAAAATTGCCTTGGGTAATTCTGGAACAAATGTGGATAAAATACTGAGAGAGGATCTAAATTTTTAGAGGACTGTAGGGTCACTGTCCAATGCCCTGAACCCAACCCCTGTCCCCTTCCCCAGACTCACCCAGCCTCTTCAGGGAGGAGTAGCGGTTCAGTTCCGACTTCACAGCAGCCTCATAGGACGGGGGCAGGTGCGAGAGGTTGTGGAAGGAGCGAGAGCAGGACAGCGTGGAGTAGTGCAGGGAGGGGCTGGGTGGTGGCAGGGCCCTCCAGTCTGGGGAGCAGGCAGGGGTCAGCCCTGGGTCCAGACCCAACACATACATGGACCCCGGGGTCCAGGCCAGCCTCCTCCCTCAGACCCAGGGTCCAGGCCCAGCCTCCTCCCTCAGACCCAGGCTCAACCCTCCTCCCTTAGACTCAGGGTCCAGACCCCAATCCTCCACCCACAGACCCACTTAGTCAATTGGGCCCCTTCCCTGGGGGAGGCAGAAATCTGGGACCCCAGCCCCTCAAAGCAATCCAGTCACCTTAGCTGCCCCACACCAGTACCCAGGCCTGTTGCAGGGAGGAAGATACACTGCAAGCTGGCACCTGTCTGGGGTTGGGGTGCAGCCCGTGTGTGCCCCCTCTAACATGGGTGGAAGGAGGACCCCTCCATGTCCACTGGAGGACACGGAGGCTGCCTTGGTGGCTGGCACTGTGGGTGCTGTGAGCAGGGCACAGGGCACCTCACTCCGGTTCCTTCCCAGGCCTGGCTCGGGCGCCCACGGCGGGAGGGAGCCCTCTGCGTACCCAGCATGGCGGCTCGGTGCGTGGGGCTGTTGGCGCTGAGGTGCAGGTAGTTGTGGTGCAGATTCTCTGAGGGGACCGAGAAGGAGGCGATGTCACTGCCCCTGCTGCCCCCACCTCCTGGACAGATCCCGGCCCTGAGCTCAGCCCTCGGTCAGGCCTCACTGGGGCTCCCAGGTCAGACCAGCCATTGGCTGTGTATGGTGACAGTTGGGGACTTGCAGGGGGCAGCAGGTGGCACAGGCTCGTGGCTGGGGAGGGGCTGCGGCCACATCCACTCTAAAGTCCAGGCCAGAGAGCCTCCCTCCACCTCCCCACTCATGTCTGCTTGGTCCCTCCTGGCCTCCAGGTGTCCACCCTGACCCATGCTGTCCCCCTGACCATTCAGCCAGTGCATCTCGACACACTGCTGCCCGTCCTCTGCGGAAACCCTTCCTACGGCTCACCCTCACCCATGGGACGACATGGGACTTGGGAATGGCGATGAGGCCTTGGAAATCTGAAGCCTCATCTTCCCTCTCGCTGCTCCTCTCTCTGAGGCCTGCATAAGCCCAGCTCAGTTCTGCCCAGGGCCTTTGCACATGCTGTTATTCTTTTCTGGCTGCCTTGAAGCCCTTCTCCCCCTCCCTCTCTCTCTCTATTTCTCTCTCCCTCTCTCTGTCCTCTCGGGTACTGGGGATTGAACCCAGGACCCCACACATGCAAGTCACATGCTCTACCACTGAGTTACGTCCCCAGCCCTTTTTATTTTGACACAAGTCTAAGTTGTTCAGGTTGGCATCAAATATGCCATCCTCCTGCCTCAGCCTCCCGAGTGGCTGGGATCCCAGGTGTGCAGCTCTCTGCCCTCCTCCTCCTCTTGCCTGGAGAACTATTCAGCATCCATCTTGAATGTTCCTTCTTATAACTGTTCAGACCCTCTCCTCCCCTCCCCCGACTCCAGCTCAGTCCTCGCTGCTCCCCGTGGCTCCCGTGGCCCTCAGGACCAGGCAGTCTCTCCTTCTTCAGCCCCAGCCTCTCCCTGGCCTCCAGCTGGCCCAGCTGCCCAGGGCCTACGAGGCTGCAGTAGCCCCTCACCCTACAGCTCTTTGGCTCAGACATCACTCTGGGGAGCCCTCCTCCCCTAGGACAGAGGAGACCCTTTGTCCTCCTTACAGCTCTGGGACGCCTCCTCGGTGCACTCAGAACGCCTGCCGAGCCCACGGGTGCTGAGTGCAGGACAGCTCAGGACGGGCAGAGGCTGGGGGCAGGCCGTGGGCCCGAGGGGGGCTGGGGGCGAGGCCACAGGGATGAGGGCGCGTCAGACCAGGCAGCCCGGTGACGCCACTCACCGATGTTGGGGGGCTTCACTGTGCTGTAGAGGTTCTTGGGCGTCCTGGGGGGCATGCTGTCGGGACCCCCAGTCCCTGGGGTCAGGGAGCTGCTTCGGGCCCGGTCCGGACGGGTTCCAGGCCCCGCCTGATGCCTCAGGATGTCCACCAGGGCCCTAAGTGGGACAGAGGGATGGTCAGTGGCCCAAGGCCTGGGGACAGGAGGGAGGAGAGAGGCCAGGCCCTTCCCTCCTGTCCCCTCCTCCGGGGAGTCCCTGGCGCCCTCTCTAGGCCATACTTCCCCTTGAAGGGTCCTTCCCAGCTCATGGCCCCACCCCATGTGGTCCCTGCACTTGCTCCTGGCGGCTCTGTCCCATCCTGAAACTGGAAGCCACAAAGGAGCCCAGTCACCCAGACCCCAGACCTCGCCGTCACCACGACTCCTCATTCCCACCTTTCCCGTCAGCCGCCAGCTCCCGGTGCCCCGACATTGCCCTGGCCTCCTGCCCAGTGTCCCCACTTCTGCCCGGCAGTTTAGTCTCACCCACAGCCTGGGTGCTTCTCCCCCAAGGTCAGGACCCTCCCAGAGCCCCCTCCACAGTTAGAGACACTCGGCCCGGACTGCTGCCCCTTGCCTCTTTGCTTACCACTTCAGCTGAACCAGTCCCTTTCCTGCTGCTGTGAGGGCACCTCAGGGCCTTTGTACATGCTGTTCCTCTGCCTGGAATGCCCTTCCCAAGATATCACTCTCTTCATGTTTCTGCTCAGACAGGCCTTTTCTGACCACTTCATCTAAACCAGACTTCCCCACACTCTCAGCCCTTGATGGGGCTTTTTTCCCTTCAAGCCATTACTAATATCTAAAATTACATTGCATGCATACTTGGTTGCAGACACAGGGCTTGTCTGCATGGCAGGGGAGGTGCTGGGACTGAACCCAGTGTTCCCTACCACTGAGTTACCTCCCACCCCATATTTATCTTATTTTTTTGACAGAGTCTAAGCTGAGGAGGCTGCCCTGGAGCTGTGATCCTCCCATTCGGCATCCCAAGTCACTGGGATTGCAGGCCTGCACCACTGGGCCGGGCCGCACCTGCCACGCCAGGACTCTACCCGAACCAACTCAGTTAATCTTCACTACAGTCCCATAGGTCAGGATTGTCACAGACAAGGAAACACAGAGGCCAAGCAGGGCTGGGCTGGGGCTCAGCGGGAGAGCGCTCGCCTAGCAGGTGCCTTCGAGGCCCTGGGTTCCATCCTCAGCACCACATAAAAGTAAATAAATAAAATAAGGGTACTGCGTCCATCTACAACTAAAAAAAAAAAGGTTAAGCTGCTGGCCCTGGGCCACACAGCCCGCGGCAGCAGGACTAGGTTTGTCCAGAAGGCGGGACCTTGTTTGGTCATGCAGTAATCCCAGTTCCTGACCCACAGAAGGTAACTGAGAAACGTTGGTGGAGGCCAGGCATGGTGGCACATTTCTGTAACGTGGGAAGCTGAGGCAGGAGGATCACAAGTTCTTAGAATTTAATGAGGCCTTACCCATCTTAGTGAGGCCATGACTCAAAATATAAAAAGGTCTGGAAATATAGCTCAGTGGTAGAACGCCCCTGGGTTCAGTCCCCAGTACCAAAAAGAAAAAGAAGTAGTTGTTGGGTGAAGGAAGGCCGGCCCTCCCCGCTCAGTCATGGACAGCCCAGTGGGCTGGTCTTCTCCAGTCTCAGGCCCCGTCTCCCTGGGCCTCTGGTCCACCCCATCCCTGGAGCCCGCCCTCGCCCAAAGGCTCCACTTCCCACGGCCCAGGTCCCGCCCCCAGGTTCCTACCCTGGCTCCCCAACGCACACGCACCTGGGCACGTTGATCTCGCGGTGCGCCCTGGGCGCGCGGGACGCCTTGCTGAAGGCCACTTTGGCTCCGACGCCCACGGCCAGGGCGAAGCTGATGACCCCGCACACCACATAGGCGGTGCTGCCTCCAGGGCCCTCGCCCCCTCGTCCCCCCGCACCCCCAGGACGGCCCCCTTCCAGCCACCCGGCCTGGCCTGGCCCTGGGCCCCCGCCCGCGCCCCCGGCGCCCCCCGCGCCCCCGGCCAGCGGCGGCGGCGTCGTGGCCCATCGCGGCGTGTCGTAGTTGGAGCAGGAGGCCTGCGCCAGGCGCATGTGGCGGTGCTCGCAGCAGAAGCGGTAGTGGCAGGTTCCGCAGCAGAAGCGGTAGGAGCCCGTGCTGCAGTTGAAGGTGGCGTCGTACTGGCCCATGACATCGTAGTAGCCATGGCAGAGCTCGGCAGGAGGCGGCGCCCGGGCTGCTGCGCCGGGGCCGCCTGCGGGGCTGGTCCTGGTGCCGTTGGCGCCCGGGCCCGCCGCGCCCCCGCCGCCCGTCAGCGCCCCGGTCAGGCGCCGCAGGTGCGCTAACAGGGCGGGCAGCGGGCCGGGGGGGTCGGCGCTCGTGGCGTTGGACGGGCGCGCCCCGGCCTGGCCGGCGGTGGAGGCCAGGAGCACGAGGGTCCCGAGGAGCAGGAGGGCCGGCATGAGCGCAGGAGGTCGGCCGCCAGGCTGCTGCGGAACGGAAAGCGGAGGCTGGAGTGTGGGCAGGGGAGAGATGGCCAGAGGCGGAGAGTCGTAGACAGGTGGCCGGGCAGGGTGGGAAGAAGGACCGGGAACGGCAGAGGGGTGCAGGGAAGGGGCCCAGAGGTGACCGCCGCACGCGGAGTCGGGCGGGCATCCCAGCGCGACGGAAAGGCGACGCACACCGGGGAGGAGAACGGAAAGGACAGGGGCACGCAGAGAAAAGACCAAGTGACCGAGGGAGGAAGATCGGAGGGTCCACGGAGACATCAGGGCGTGCGCAGAAATAGAGAGGCCAAAGGAGAAGGAGGGTGCGATGGAGGAGGCAAGGAGGGCGGGAGGTGGGGAGAGCAGAGGAGCAAGAGAGCCCGGGAGGCGCGGGAGCAGGCAGAGGCCGGCGGGCGGCAGGACGGTGGGGTGGAGGACCCGGGGGGAGTGGAAGCTGGCAGCCCAGGCAGGCCAGGGGATTCGCGCCAGGTTCTCTCCTGGACTTGCTGACATGGGGCAGGAATCCGGCTTCGTCCTGAGAGACCGTCCTGCGAATACCGATGAGCGGCATCCACAGCCCCCCAGTTTGTGACCACCTAGGGTACCTCAGGCATTGCTCGGAGTTCCCGTGGTGGAGATGGGGGCACAGGCTGAGAGCCACTGGCTCACCCACAGGCTCCTCAGTGCCCCCATGCCCATTCTGTCCTCTATTTAGTGCCCCCTCTCTCCGTCCCTGTCTCATACACACCACACTCTCACAGTTCAGGTCTGAAGTGTCTCTGTCCACAGTGGGGGAGGCAGACTGGCAGGGCAGCTCATCAGCTCAGTGGAGTGCAGCTGCTGGACACCTGATGGCTCTTACCCGACCACAGCCCCACGCCTCATTTCCTCACTGTAAGACAAGGGCAGGAGTAAGGCTGGTCACCCCAGGGTTGTTGGGAGGGTGGACCCAGCCTGTAAGGGCTCTGGAGGCATCGCGCAGGATTTCATGGACTGGAAGGACTGTTCTTTTCAGAAGGGAGACTGGATGGGGGTAGAGAAGTGAGTCTGGGGCCATTCAGGGCAGGTTCCCCGCTGTTTCTATGGCAACAATCCAGCCAGGCCCTGGACATGCCCACCCAGTGGACATAGCAGGTGGGGAGGATGCCTGGCTTCCTTTAGGGAGCAGAGGAGGCTGCACTTGCTCCATTGCCAGGAAGGACGACCGAGCATCAGAACCGGGCAGCGGGCAGTGGGCAGCTGCAGGCTTCCTCCTCCCTCCTTCTAGAGGATGACAGCTCCTACCGGAGGATGCCCAGAAGCTGCCCTCAGTAGCGCAGGCCCTGTGGCGCCAGGTCGGGATGCCAATTCCTTCTGCACAGGGCCGCCAGGCAGTGCCTACCGAGCCCTGGGGTGCTGTGGGGAGCTAGCCTACAGGGCCCTGGCAGCCTGCGGGTGGCCTTCCAGTGAGCGGGGAGAGTCACGGACACAGATAAATGTGATCCATGTTGAGAGCATAGCGCTGTGAAGACTGGTGAACGAGGAGGGATCATAAGTAAGCAGCATCAGCGGAAGGAGACTGGGTGGGACTAACCCGACCATATCATCAGGTGCTGTTTTTATTATCCGTCCCCTTCCAGTGCGTGTGTGTGTCTAGGGACACACTGTCAACAAGTGGCTGGCAGTTGGGTGGGGAGAGGGTTGGGGGGTGCGGGTGCCGCCTCACCCCACATGGGGCCTCAGCTTTCACTCTGAGCTCCCAGTGGGATCCATCCCTGAACTCCAGCCTGGATGCCCACTGCCTGTGGCTCTTGTGCTTGGTGTTTAGCTGTGTCTAGAGTGAGTGGTTCGCCTGCACTGTGGAACAGCTAGACACAGAGTTACGGTGGGACTCAGAAGCTGCACTCCCACGCTTCTCCTCCACAGACCCGAAAACACATGTTCACACAAAAACATGTAGATGACTGTTCACAGCAGCACCAAGCATGAGACAAGGTCCATCAGGGATGGACAGACACAAAACATGGCAGTCTGCAGAGAGGAGTATTAGTCAGCCCTGAAAAGAAGCCAAGTGCTGACGCCTGCTGCCTGGGGGAGCCCTGAGTGAGGCATTGCTCTGGGGAAGCGGCCAGTCTTAGTGCCTGATTCCCCCGTGTGCATTCCACAGTGTCAAATCCGGAGGCCGGAAGCCTCTTAGTAGCTGCCTGGAGCTGAGGGGAGGGGCGGAAGTGGCTGTGTAATGGGTAGGGGGCCTCCTTCGGGGGGTGAGGACAGCAGTGATGGGCACACATGCTTCTGACCCACCAGCCACTCCCCGTCCGGACCCTAGGCTGCCCCACCCAGGTAAGCCCCAGCTCTGCCAGGAGCCCTGGGCCCTGCTCCTCTTCTCCGTGGCCCTTCCTGCCTGCTCAGGGTCATGCCCAGCAGGTGCCCACTTCCTACCTTCCTTGTTTGTTTTGGTATAGGGGATTGAACCCAGGGCCGCCTCACCACTGGGCCATCCCCCCAGCCCTTTTTATTTTGAGACAGGGTCTCCCTAAATAGATGAGGCTGGCCTTGAACTTGCACTCCTCCTGCCTCAGCCTCCCCAGCTGCTGGGATCCCAGGTGTGGCCACACCTGGCACTCTTCTGCCTTTTGCACTTGCTGTTCTCTTCTAAGACCGCCCTGCTTTCCTCTGGTGTTGCTTCTCCCAGCGGGCCTCCTGTCCAGCCTCTGGCAGCAGCCTGGACATGCGCCAGTGTCCTCCTCACTTGGTATCCTCTAACTCCTGCCTCCACCTGCCATGTTGTGGGGTCCCATTGCCCCCCTCCCCTGCACTAGACATCCATAAGACAGGTCTTCCTGTCAGCGCTCTCACCGTGTCTGGCACCCAGCACTAGTGCCTGGTCCTTTGTAGGTGTTCGATTCATGTTGTCAATGTACCTTTATGTATTTATATGTGGTGCTGAGAATCAAACCCAGTGCCTCAACATGCTAGGCACGTGCTCCACCACTGAGCCCCGGCCCCAGCCCTCCATTAATGTTTATTGAACAGATAAAACAAGTGTGAGAGGGGTTTCTCTCTGTCTTATGCACGTTTCAGATGGGGACATCCAAACTCCAAAGCCCTTATTGTTTGCCTGAGCCCCACAGTGCAGGCAGGAGTGGTGCAGTGGCCTCTGAACTTGGTCTTCAGGCACTGAGGCCTGCAGACTGCGCATGGCTCTATCCCACACCCAGAGATGGGGGTGATACACACACAGCCACCTGGGGTCCTTCACCACTGAGGCTGCCATCGAAAACCAGGCAGGCAGAACGCTGGCAGAGGGGCCCAGCAGGACCCTGCTCCCCACAGGGGCTGCATCCACCTGGGCAAGGGATGCCCTTGGAGACTCACAGGCTGCCATGTGCCTGTGAAACACTCGACTCGGGAGCTCATGGGACAGGAGGGGCTTTTGTCTGGTCTGCACAAGGCTGTTCTGTGGAGTAGCAGTTCTGCTTTCTCCATCCTGTGCCACCCTCTGGCTGGGCATCCCTTGCTAAAGGAATTCTGCTATCTCGTCCACTGCATCCAAGTGGACACCTGGGAGACACGCTGCCAGGGCATGGCAAGACCAGCCAGGAGATGGCAGAGCAGCATGCTCCCCATCGAGCTCAGTCTCCCCCCACACAAACTGCCTTTCTGCACCTCCCCATACGGGCAGCACCTACAGGTGGACAGAGGACACACCTGCAGACACAGTGCCCGACCAGAAACAACAACAACAAAAAAAACAGGGGCTAGCTCTTCCCTTACCTCACAACAGCACTTACCCACACACAGGGGCACAGAGCACAGGACACTAGACAGTGCACCAGACACAACGTGCAAGGACCCCAGTGTGGTCCCCGCAGCTCCACATGGACACAGCCATGCATTTCTGCACCTTTGACTCAGACACCATGACAAGCTGGGGCCACAGCAGCTCAGAAACCAGCCAGGGGCCTGCCAACCTCTCTGCAGTGGGCACACATCTGTGCGGGCCCCTCACAGCTCAGCCACAGAGCCTCGGGGTGCACACACACGTGGCAACACCCTCGCCTGGGATGGAGAGCCTGGAAGCAGGCATGTGACACCCCACCCCGCCCCCAGAAGGCCCCCACCTCTTGCTCTGTCCTCCTCCACAGCTGGGAGGAGCAGGCCAGACCCTAGTGTCCATGCACTGTCCTGGCCTGCCCTCTCCAGCCAGGCCTGCAACTTGAGAGACAGGGGACACACATCAGGGAGCCAGGCCCGGGGCAGTTCTGCTCTGGGTCCACATCCTGTGGACCTCCTGCCACGCAACACGGTTCCAGATTCCACTCTCTTGCTGTCCCCTCTCAGCCTTGCCAGCTGGGGGACGGTGGGTCCTGATGAGTTGCCCCCTGGGAAGCCCCACAGAGAGCAGCAGGAGGTGGGAGCTGAGGGTGCCCAGAAGCCCAGAGCAAGGGGCAGACACTGACCGGGACGTCGAGATCCGGGAGAGGGGTGAGAGTTCAGAAAGAGTCAGGGGACAGGGAAGAGAGAGAGAGAAGGGAGGAGATATGCCCCCCAGGAGTGGTGCGTGGGGGGAGGTGAAAGGTGGAGAGAGGGGGACGGGCAGTGGTGAGCAGAGGAAGACACACACCTAGGGAACTGGGGGGCACAGACCGAGGTGGAGGGAGGGAGAGAGGGGCATGGAGACTGGAAAGGGTCAGAGCCTCTGGAATGGCAGCAATGGGGTCAGCAAGTGGCAGTGCAGGGGCTGGGGATGCAATGGAGAGGGGCGGGAGGGGTTTCCAGGAACATGGGGTTCACAGGCAGTTTGGGGTGGGAATGTCAGAAGCAGGCTAGGAGGACCCACAGGAGGAGAAAGCGGAGGGAGAAGCGGGGTCTGGGTGCCGGTTCAGGGGAGGGGGGAGGTTGAGCAGAGGTGGCAGTGCCGGAAGGCAAGGACCACACCCCGACTCTCCCCGGATGAACACCTGAGGGGGACCAGATACGGTCCCGTGTGGTTCCATCTCCGGGGTCTCCAGCCCCAGGCGTCCCCGTTAATCTATCTTCCCTGGACCCCTGCCTTCACCGCCCCCTCCTCGGCCCGCCCACTGCCGGTCTTTGTCGCTGCCGGGATCTGCCCTTGGGTCACAGTCTCCTATAGGTCTGTGGCATCTCAGCGTTGCCTGGGTCTCGGTCTCAGCATCTCGGTCTCAATCCGCCCCCTGTTTTAGCCTTCATCCCCTGCCTCCCCCGCTGGGCTCTGCGTCTTCCCGGTCTCCGCCACATTCTGTCCCTTTGCCTCTGGCTCCCTGTCTCTGCGTGTCTCTGTCCCTCTGAATGCCAGAGTCCCCTTTCCTCGGACCCCCGCCCCTCTGGCCCCCACTCTCAGGAGAGGTGGGTGGGGGGCGCTGCGGCGGGAGCTGTGTGTTCCCAGCGCAAAATAGACTCCCGTTGCCATGGTGACGAGAGCGCGGCTCCAGACGCAGGCTTCTGGCTGGGGGTGCAGAGGGGACACCTGGATCCGGAAGGCGGGGGCCGGGGGTGCCGACTCCCGTCCCAGGGGCTCCAGAGGAGGGGCGGCTGGGACTCCTACTCCCAGGGAACGGGGTGCTGGGCTCTGTGCTGCCGGGCCTTCTGGGAGGGGTCTGGGCTGCCAGCATCGGTAGTGAAGGGCTGGCTGGCTAAGGGCTCTCGTCCCTGCATTCCCGGGGGACGCAGAGGATACCTTCCTAGGTCCCCAAGTCTTGGGAGGGGGCAAGGACTGTCAATCTCCGGGGGGTTGGGCGTCTATAGAGTTCTAATTCCCAGATTTTCAAGGGGGCTGCAGAATCTTGGAGCTCTCATGTGAGTCCCTGGACTCCTGAGTCGTCGGGGCACAGGGACCACTCAACGCAGCCGTCTCTTCTTCCATCCATCCATCCACCCATCCATCCACATGCCTGCTCCTTCCTCCCTGTCCAGTGCCTCAGTCTCCCCTTCCGCACCGGGTGCGGTCGCGCTCACCTCACCTTCCGGATGCGGGACCCTCAGGGAGTCGGGGGTGGTGGCGTGGGGGCTGGCCGGGGGAGGCACAGCGAGCGCGTGTCTGCGAGCCAGCCGGGCTGGGCGTGCGCGCACCGCGCCGATGGGGGCGCAGCGTGGCGGCGACCCCGGCCAGCGGTGCTTTTTCCCGTGCAGATGCGCCGGCTTCCGTGCAGATGTGGCAGCGGCCGGTCCTCGCCAGTGCCTTGCACAGACTGAGAAAAGGCACCTCCCCCTCCCCACTTGCTTAGGACCCCTCTTTCTCCCACCCGCGGACCCCAGTCGCCCCCAGGAAACCCCCCAAACCCAATAATGGTTCGGTCTACAGCCACATCAATGTTTATTCTGCGAGTCCGGGTCCCAGTCTGTAATACTATTTCCCCCTCCCCGTTCAGGCCCTTGAAGTGGCCCGGGGCCCAGCCCCACCCCCACCTCGCTCTCAGCCAATTCCCGCCCAGCTCCCAGGAATTTCATTTGCATTTCCGGGAAGAATTGCCCAATGGGAAGGCATAACCACGCCTCCCCTCCCAAGGGGGCGGTACCTCTGGTGGACGGCACCACTCTTGGGATACAGGGATGGGGGAAGAGCACTTCCATGGGGTAACAGGAGGGTGGTATCCCCTCAAGTTAGGGCTGGAGATTCATCAGAAAAGGGGGTTCTGGCCTTGGAAGAGGCCCAACAGCCCGCTGTCCGGGACGGGCTCCTTAATGATCTTCTGGATCTGTAGAGGGAGGGAGGAGTCAGGAAGTCTTCAAGGGTCCCCATCTCCATGATGACAAATCAGAGGGACACATCTCCATCTTCATCTTCCCTGACACTCTTGGCAGCAGCTGACTAAGTCAACTATTCTCTCTTCTCAAAAGCTTTCCCAGGGCCTCCCTTTCATCACATCTGTCTGGTTTAAGTCATAACTTCAAACCATCTCAGTCTGATTTGCTGGCTTGGACCACTAAACAGGGATGGCTTTGTCCAGGGATTCTTGTCTACACTTCCTCTTCAGTTATTTCCTTTCTCCATCACTCACTCTTCTGGCCTTTGATTCCCAAAATCCAGCCCAGGCTTTGCCCCCTGAACTCCAACCCATTTATCCTAACTACCTATTGAATATGAACAACCAACCATATTTCATCCATCAAAAAGTTCCACCAAGTTTATCTCTGGAAAATTAAACAACAAAAACCAAGGCTGCATCTCCACTGCTTCTACCCTAGTGAAGCCCCTATCACTGCTTGCCTCGATGCCTGAAGTTGCCCCCTTGCTGGACCCCCCCCCCCCTCAACCTGACCCATCCTGCAAGCAAATAATCTTTTTGCTGATCTGACTATGGTCAGCTCTACTGTGTAAAACCCTGATGACTGCCTATTGCTAAAATCCCAAATCGTTGCCAAGATGTGGCTCTACCTCCTGCCTTCTTTGCCTCTTCCGCATACCTGCCCAGCACCGACTATGTCCTCCAACATACAGTTCCTCGAATAAGGCAAGCTCAGTCCCACCCTCTGGGCTTTATCCCAGCTGTTCCCTGCACCAGGGAAGGAACTGACTGCTCCTACCCTCCAGGTTTGGGGTTCCAGATGACCTATCATTGCCCTCTGCACATTCCAGCTCCGGGTCACAACCTGTTATTGAACATGGATTGGCTTTTTATCTCCACACTGCGTTACTAGCTCCAGGAGGGCTGATTCTGCCATTGCCTGGCCAAACCACGTGGCTCAACAGATGCTCAACAGCACGTAAGGAAGGGGAGGGGCAAGAACTGGGGCTTTCTAGTTTGAGTCTGTTCCCATCATCTTGAGGCCTAGGGGTTTGAAGGTGTGGTGGGGAGAGCACACTAGCATTTGGTCAGGCACCAGAAGAGGGTGAGGATGGGCACCAGCACCCAATGGGGCAAAAGCCCAGGGCATGAAGAGTTGGCAGTGGGTATCAGGGTGTCAAGGGGTTCTGCTCACAGGGTCTCTGCTGGACTGTCCACCCCATGTCCGCCTGGCTTCCTTATTTCATTCTAAACCACCAACTTCAGAAGCCTCCTGAACCACCCCATGTAACCCCCTCCTCTGCACTCCAACACCCCACATCATCCCTCTTGTTCTCTGGAGTCTTTATGGGCATCTGACATGTCCTTTCATTTATGTATCATGGTGGCGAGCAATCCTCCACCAGAATTTAGCCTACCCCACGCCCATACACATTCTCCTGTGCAGGGTGGCCCAGCAAGGGGACACCAGGATCCATTACCTCCCTGAACTTGGGGTGGGCAGCATCCCTCACAAGCTGCATGATGAGTCCTTCGCTGGTGGAGAGGAAGGCACCACTCTGCCTCATTCGGGCCAGCGCTGTCAGCCGGTCCACCTGACTGTAAGCAAGTCCGAGGAAGAGAGGGCAGGGGTCCATGCTGTGGCAAAGACACCTGATACTCATGTGCACATGTGGCACGTGGCCCCAGTTGACCCCCACACACATCCTCTCCTGGGAGGGACTCTCACCTGCGTGAGGAGCAGGCGTCCACCACAATGTGGACCTGCAGACCCCGTTCCAGGAGGTCCAGAGTTGTGTGCTAGGGTGGAGAAAGGTCAGAACCAAACCCAGGCCAGAACCAGGGGCCCAAGTGAGGGGCTGGGTCAGAACTGGGGACCCAGAATGGGGCTGAGGGAGGCTCACATCAGAGCAGGGGCCCAGGTTAGGAAGTAAGTGCCCGGTCAGAGGAGGTCCCTACAGGTGAGAATGTGGGGCCCCAGGGGATCAGTGGGGAATCTCACCAAGATGCAAACCTGGGCCTCAATGCCACAGAGCAGCACTGACTGAAGCTGGGGCCGGCTGTCCAGCTCCCGCTGCAGGGTGGGCACCATGCTGAAGCAGGTCTTGCTTACTGGCTGAAGGCCCTCAGCCCCCAGCTCTGGGACTGTGGGGCCTAGGCCTTGTGGGTACTGCTCTGTCAGCAGGGCTGGGACTTGCAGCAGTCGGGCCACCTGTGCCAGAGAGAGGGAACAAAGGCCTTATTCTGAGGGAGGAGGCTGGGGCCTGGACCCTAGGTCTGAAGAAAGATGGTCTATGGCCTGTGAGGGAGGGGGCTGCCTGGACCCGGGTCTGAGGGAGGAGGCTGGGCCTAGACCCCGGATCTGAGGGAGGAGGCTGCCTGGACCCCGGGTCTGAGGGAGGAGGCTGGGCCTGGACCCCGGGTCTGAAGAAAGATGGTCTATGGCCTGTGAGGGAGGAGGCTGAGGTCTGAACCCCTGTGTCTGAGGAGGAGGCTGGGCCTGGACCCTGGGTCTGAGGAGGAGGGCTGGGCCTGGACCCTGGGTCTGAGGGAGGAGGCTGGGCCTGGACCCTGGGTCTGAGGGAGGAGGCTGGGCCTGGACCCTGGGTCTGAGGGAGGAGGCTGGGCCTGGACCCTGGGTCTGAGGGAGGAGGCTGGGCCTGGACCCTGGGTCTGAGGGAGGAGGCTGGGCCTGGACCCTGGGTCTGAGGGAGGAGGCTGGGCCTGGACCTCTGATCCAGGTAATAGGCTGACACATACCCTGAGCATTCGAGCAGCCACAGAGACAATCTGTGGGAAGTAGACGATACTGTGACGAAATCTCTCCTGCATGTCACAGAGGAACAGAATGGAGGATCCGGGGAGGACTCGGCCCAGGCTGGTCCTAGCTGCTGCCATTCCTTCAAGTGGGAGACAGGCAGGGGCAGGCTCAGCAGGGAGGGAGTCCAGCACATTCTGCAGTTCCCATCCAGGGTGGGCATGGTTTCCGCCTGGGGTCCTCACCCCGGACTTGCTTACTCCAGACCTTTGCATCTACTGATCTCCTGCATCTTCTTCCCATCTTCTTCAGCTAGGAGGACGCTTCTCTGGGAAGCCTTTGTGGCCCTGACCAACATGGTCCCCAGTGTCACCCTCCCAGACCTCTCCATCCTGGAGACTGTACATCAGCAAGCATTTCTATGACCTTAGTTTCCACCTGCCACTCACAGGGTTCTGGGCTCATGCTCTGCCATGTGTCCAGCGCCCTCCCATGAGGCTTCTACGTGAAGCCTCAACCGTACCTCACCTCTGGGGAAACTAAGGACCAAGCAGTGAAGTGACCTTCCCAGGGACACATAGAGTTGGGATGTGCCCCTTGAGAGAAAAGGACTGCACTCTCCAGGCTGTGGCTCTCCCCACCCCACCCCTTGCAGCTGCAGGGCTTGCAGAGCCTTTGAACCTGACTTCCCAGGGTGGCCACTGGCTCTTCTCCCACCTCCGTTCACCCAGTGCAGAATACACTGGCAGACTCCCTCCCAGGTCTTGGAAAGAGGATGGCAAACAGGGCTGGGGATGTGGCTCAAGCAGTAGCGCACTCGCCTGGCTTGCGTGCGGCCCGGGTTCGATCCTCAGCACCACATACAAACAAAGATGTTGTGTCCGCCGAAAACTAGGAAAAAAAAATAGATTTTAAAAATTCTTTCTCTCTCTCAAAAAAAAAAAAAGGAAGAAAGAAAGAAGATGGCACACCCCAGCGGGTATTCTTCAGCCATACAAAGGAATGAAGGACCAAGGCGTCACACCACAGGGGAACTTTGAAATATTCTCAGTGAGAGGTCGGTAACAAGGCTGCTCTGTGTGTGTTTCTACTTGTAAGAAATATCCAGAATAGGCGAACCCAGAGAAGGCAAGCAGAGTGGCAGCTGCCAGGGACTGGGGCAGGAGGAACCTGGGGTGACTGTTAACGATTCAAGATTTTCAATTTAGGGTGACAAAAATGTTCTGATTGAGGCAGTCGTGACAGTTGCACAACATCATGAACGTACTAAGAGCTACTTAGCTGCACGTTTTAAAATGAAGAGGGTAAGTCTTTGGGCTGGAGTGCAGCTCAGCTGTAGAGCAGGTGAAGCCTTGGGCTCCAACTCCAGCACCACACACACACACACACACACACACACACACACAGGTTTTATGTTCTATGTATTTTACCACTTTTTTTAAAATAGAAAAAGAAGAAAGAGGATGGGACTGGTGAAGCTACCTGCCCAGCAATCCTTCTACAAGGGAGGAAACTGAGTCTCAGGGAGCCCCTGACTTGCCCCAGGTCTGGCCTGACTCCCTCCATCAGAGCATCTCCAAGAACCTTGGTGTGTCCCAGGTGTGCCCCAGCCAGTGTCCCGAGGAGGCCTGTTTCTGGGTCCCCACACTGCTGCACAGTGGGGGGAGTTCTGGTGGCGTTTTTCTGCAGGTCTCTCACTACACATGGAAGGTTTGTTTGTGCTCACTTGTGGGAAGCCACTCTGAATGGTGGCTCCGCACACTCACTCATTCACTGACTCATTTGGGAAACAGAGACTGTGGGGACCCCGTGAAGTGTGGACCAGGGTGGGGGAGGCAGGCACTAAACAATAAACTGCTAATATTTTCAAGCTGAGTGCTGAGCCCACAGGTGTTTATTATTAAAACTTAGTATATCTACCATAGAAAATGTGTTTTATGTGTAACATCTCAACTTTAAGAGTGAACAGAAGACTATGTTGGTGACTTGTTTGGTAGTGCTGGGACTGAGCTCAGGACCCTGTGCATGTGAAGCTCTACCACTACACTACACCCCAGAGCAATGGTGAATTTTGTGTTTTATGAATTTTATCTCAATTTTTAAAATGTAATGGATACTCCCCCCCTAAAACAAAACCACAGCAAAGTATTTAATCACATAATTACAACTGTGATAAGTGCTGTGATTACTTGAAATCTCTTCCCAAGAAGTGAAGAGAGAGAGATGATCTTTTGGAAAACAAAGCTGTTGCTCCTGTTGCCATTCCCACAACCCGGACCCCATGGCTTCTATTTGTCTTCAGGACAGAGATGCAACCCCCTCCAACAAGGTTCTGGGGACCCCTCCAGCCCCAGCCCATCCAAGGGTCCTTGATGGAGAGCTCCCTGGTGGGTCACTTAGGCCCTGGAATCTCTGTGAGGGGAGTGGGCAGCTCAGGGAGTCCGAGGGTGTCAGTACACTGAGGAGCTCCCCTTCAGGCTGGCAGCAGTGTGGACAGTGACTCCAGGTGACAACTACAAGGCCCCATTTCTCAAAATGATAGATACACAAACCCTCTGCCCCAGAAATCTGCCCCTAAGTCTTTATCTGGCAGACATCCCTGTGAAATGACGAAGGTTACTGACCACAGCACTCTGGAGGGCAAAGGAGCAGAAATAAATCTAAATGTTCACAGTTAGGGCACTGGCTGCTACTACAGAATTCTGTGCAGCTAGAAACAACTACCAGGAAGCTCTTTAACGATAAGGAAAATTCAAGAGAAGTGAAAAAGGAGGCCCAGTGCAGTGGTGCACGCCTATAATCCCAGTTCTTGTGAGACTGAGGCAGGAAGATCACAAGTTTTGAGTCAATTTCAGCAACTTAGTGAGAATCTGTCTCAAAAAGGCTGAGATGTATCATCTGTGGTATAGACCCTTCAGGTTCAATCTGTAGTACTGTTAAAAAAAAAAAAAAAAGGAAAATAGAGTGTATAAAATATTTTCATTTATATCAAAATCTTTATCTACTATCTCTGGCAGCTACAAGGACCAGACACTCAGGTGGGAAACTGGGTCTAAACTGGGTGAGAAACAGTGTGATGGAGACTTGAGTTTCACCCTTTTGAATTTTGGACAATGTATAATAGGTTGTCCCGTAGAGAAAAAATATAGAAGCCTAGTGCAGTGGCCATGCATGTACTCTCAGAAACCTGGGAGACTGAGGCAGGAGGATCAACCGTTCAAGGCCAGACTGGGCAACTTAGCAAGATCCTGTCTCAAAATAAAAGGCCTGGGATGTAGCTCAGTAGTAAAGCACTTATCTAGCATGTGTGAGGCCTGGGTTCCATCCCCAGTCCCATTAAAAAAAAAAAAAAGAAGAAGAAGAAGAAGAAGAAAGAAAGAAAGAAAAAACACAAAGAAAGGACTGACTATTTCCTTGGCATAGTGGGAATGCCCAAGGAGGATCACAAGTTCAAGGCCAGCTTCAGTAACTTGGAGAGACCCCATCTTAAAACGAAAGAAAAAAACCTCAACAATAAAACACCCCTGTGTTCAATCTCCAATGCCCCCTCCAAAAAGGTAGGGGGTTGAACCTAAAACCAATTTGTGGTGAAACATGTTAAGATAGTCAAGCACCCTGAGGGTTTCTGGAGAATGTTCCATCACTGTTTACACCAGGTGTTCACTTCGTGAAGATTTATTTGAGCAGTGTATTTATGGTTTGCACTGTTTTCTGTATATGTGATATACTCCCCTTTAAAAGTTTTCAAGATAAATAAAACGAAAAGGCTTCCATGACCTTGGTGGGGCTGGATTGGAGGAGGAGCCTTGACAGGAGATTGGGGCTGGGGTCTACTAGGTTGGGGGGCAGATGTAGAAGAGGGGGCAGGTCGCAGGGGATGGTGGTGCAAGCCTGTAATCCCAATGGCTCAGGAGGCTGAGGAAGAAGGATCCCAAGTTCAAAGCCAGTCTCAGAAATTTAGCCAGGCCCTAAGCAATTTAGCAAGACCCTGTCTCAAAATAAAAAAATAAAATACGCTGGGGATGTGGCTCAGTGGTGAAGGATCCCCTGGGTTCTGTCCCAGGTACAAAAAAAACGGGAGGGCAAGACAGAAACTCAGGGGCCTGGAGACACCCCAGGTTTCCGGCCCAGCGTGGTTCAGGACCTGAACACTAGCGGGGACCTGATCAGAGGCGAGGGGGGCTGGTCTGGGGAAGTAAGTATTTGGACCAGTGTGGGGATAAGATGTGAGGAGGGAGGTCTGGGCTGCAGCCGGACCTGAGTGTCGTGGGGAGAGGTCCGGAAGGAGCCCGCGGGTGCTACAGTACTCTGGCCCGCAGGGGGCGAGGGCGAGCTGGCTACTTCCCCAAGTGGCCTCGGGGACCGGGCTCTGAGATGGACGTCCTGGCTGTAGGACCCCGGGCAAGTTTCACTCTATCGGAACCTCGGGTTCCTCCTTGAGGAGGTGGGGGTCAAACCCACCCATCCGCCGGGAGGACGCAGAACTCGGCCCGGGACTCGGAGGCGGCGCGAGCGCCCGGGAGGGCTCAGGTCACTCGCGGCCACCGAAGTTCTCGGCCACGCGGATCTCGCCGGGCGCCGCCGCCTCCTCCCCTTCTGCGCGGCGGGCGGACTTACCCGAGGCGCCGGGGTCGGGCCGGGCGGGACTGGGCACCGCGCTCGGTGGGTCTCCGGCCGTCCGGGACGCACGGCCCGCCGCGGCCAGGGGGTAACCGCCGCGCGCCGGCCAATCCTCACGCGCTCGCCCCGCCCTCCGTGACACCGCGCGGGCGGGGCTGTCTTCCTGAGAACGTGATTGGCCCGGGGCGGGGCGGGGAGGCCGCGCGCCCGACCATTGGAGAGCCGTGGGGGCGTGTCGGCGAGCGGGGCGGGGCGCCGCGGAAGGCCCGGGGCTCGCGCGGGTGACCTTGCAGGGAAAACCGAGACTAAGCGAGTCCCCCGTTGGCCCCCTGTTGGTCCCCTCCTCCTTGAGTGGTTGCACTTGGCAAGCAGGGTGGTGAGAGGGCAGAGCTCCCAGGTATCCTGGAACTAAGTCTGCATTCCTCCCTGTTAATGGTGGGCCTTGGCCGACCTCGGTGCCTCTCAGGTCCCACCTTCCCGCCGCGCCGCACCGCGCCGCCAGGTGTCCTCCTCAGGGCTCGGGGCCTTTGCGTGTGCCCTTCCTGTCCCCAGGCCCCAGAGCTGCCCTGACCGGCTCCTTGCAAGAATGCACTGCTCGACATTCCCCTCCGGAATTGGAGGTTTACCTTGGTTTTTGAAGACTTATCTGGGTACTCGTTTATTGTTGGCTCCTCCACACACAAACACACAAATGAGAGCGCCAGGAGGGCAGGGTATCCTCTGCTGCACCTCCACACCTCCATCTGGCCTGGCCCACGGTAGGCGCTCAGTAGATCTTGGGAATAATTGCGACGAGCCTAGACATTAGGCAGAGATGAGCCCGGTGAGAGGGAGCCACAGATGCCAAGATGGGGCTGGGAAGAAAGAAGGGAGAAGGCAACCCAGAATGAGTCCCCAAGGGACAGAGGTGGGGCCCTGGGCCTGGCGAGGCCCCTGAGACTGGCCCGAGGCAGGAGTCTGGGCTTGGCTTGTTTTCTCAGGGTCTGTCAGGAAAGGAGTGGAGGACAGGTCAGGGGACTTCTGGGTGAGGCCTCTGCTTTGTCCTGGGCCCTGGGCTGCATTGCAGTTGATAATCATGGGGTCCCCCAGTCTTGGCGGATCCCCTGAGAATGCCAGGTACTAGGCACTTCCCACCTGTCCACCCAGCTCCAGTCCAGATGCCCAGTCTCAGACTCTCCCCATTGGGCATGCTGTGTAAGAGGCAGAGGATCTGAGCAATGTGGTGCCAGCATCATGTCCTGCTGCCTCAGGTCTCCTTGGCCCAGAGCATGACAGGACAGATCCCACGCCAGCTGGGGAGTATCAGCAGTCAGAGGCTGTGAGGACAGATCACATGGCACTGAAGGACAGTCTGGGGTGAGTGCAATGTCATCGAAGAGGTCAAGGGTGGAGGCCTCTAGGGCAGCAAGGCTCAGGGTGGCGCTGGTATGGGGTGCCTCCATGGGGGCCATAGCACAAGCCACCCCCAGGAAGGGAGATGGAGGCGGCAAGGGTGGCCTTCTGGCTGGCTTTCTCTGGGGGGTTGCCTCCTGGGACAGGATGGATAGGGCCAGGCTCTGGGTGGCAGCCTCAATCTTGGCGAATTGCCTGCAAGAGAGACGGGTGTTAGCTGTGTGACTACAAAGGACCCCTCTCCTTTCTGCACCCCTGGAGCAACTTGTCCCCTCTTTCCATCCCATTTTTCTTCTTCCTGCTCATCTCTGTGCCCTGGCTCTGTTTTTTTTTTTTTTTTTTTTTTTGAGTATGGTAAGGGAAACTGAATAGCTGTGAGGGTGGAAGAGGCAGCCCTTCCAGCCCAGCTCTAGGCACATTTTTGACATTACAGATTTATTATGACCTTATTCCAACATATAAAAGTGTAGGGCTGGGGATGTGGCTCAAGTGGTAACGCGCTCGCCTGGCATGCGCGGGGCACTGGGTTCAATCCTCAGCACCACATAAAAATAAAATAAAGATGTTGTGTCCACCAAAAACTGAAAAATAAATATTTAAAAATTCTCTCTCTCTCTCCCTCTCTCTTCTAAAAAAAAAAAGTGTAAAATGTCTTATGGGAGTGCTTTCAAAGAAAGGTGCAGGGCAAGGTGTTTCATGCCTCTAGTCAGGTACTCAGGAGACTGAGGCAGGGGGATTACGAGATCAAGGCCAGTCTGGGTAACTTAGTGAGTCCCTGTCTCAAAAAATAAAAAAGCTGGGGTTGTAGCTCATTGATAGAGTGCTTACCTAGCATGCACCAAGCCCTGGGTTCAAACCCCAGCGTGCACACATTACCCATCACCCATCACAAAAAGGTGTGCTATGGACTGGTGGCACAATCATATTGATGTGACAATCAATATGACAATATGGTCAAATTGATGCCCTGTGGATTCTTTTGGATCAGCCTTCTTCTTGGCTTCTCCAGCAACCGCAGGTTGGAGTCTCCAGCATCTCCCAACTGCAGTAGCCACCCTGTGGATCTCTCCCCTAGCATTCCTACACTCTCGGCAATCTGGATGGCTTTCATGAACTGCTGTAGACTACACTGTGTCTCCAAAATTCTTACACTGAGTTCCTAGGTCTGAGTACCTCAGATGAGACTGCATTTTCAGATGAGGCCTGCAGAGAGGTGATTAAGGTGAAACGAAATCATTAGGCTGGGTCCCAGTCCAAGAAGAAGAGACTAGGAGGGGTTGGGGATGTGGCTCAAGCGGTAGCGCGCTCGCCTGGCATGCGTGCGGCCCGGGTTCGATCCTCAGCACCACATACAAAGATGTTATGTCTGCCGAAAACTAAACATCAAAAATTCTCTGTCTTTTTTTTTTTTAAAAAAAAAAAAGAAGAAGAAGAAGAGACTAGGAGTCAGGTTTAAAGCACAGAGGCAAGAGCCTATCAGGTCAGAAGGAGGCAGGTGTGTGCAAGCCAGGGAGAGAGGTCAGAGGGAGCCACCTAGCCCACCCCCTGATTGGGACTTCCAGTCTCCGGAGCCAGAAGAGAATGAGTGTCGTGTAAGCTGCTGGGTCTGCAGTGCTTTGTTACGGCAGAGCTCCCACAGGCACATGTACACACACACACACACACACACACACACGGGTGCACACACTGGTGAAGGCAGTGAGCCCCATCAGCTGTGCTGTGTGACCCTTCCCTACACAGCCCCAGTGGGAATGAACTGATAGTGGGGAGAGAAGGCAGGACCGCGGCCTAGGGGAAGAGACCCACCAGGCCCCTGGGGCGAGAAAGCCTTGGGCTTCTGGATCTGAGTGTGGATTACACGAGTGGGTTCTCTTTATTACACTAGTGGGGAGATTCATGGAGCTCTTTGCTAATGGTGTGGGTGTATATATTAAATTTCCATAAAAAGGCTTATTTAAAAATATATCTGATATCTATAATTCCATGTGAATGAAATATCCAGAATAGGCAAATCCCAAGAGAGAAAAAAGAGATTAGTGATTTTCCAGGGCTGGGGGAGGGGGTCTGGGGGTGGCTTCTTCATAGGAGTGACAGAATGTACTGGGACTAGACAGAGGTGATGGCTAAAACATGGTGACTATCAAATGCCACTGAACTGTACACTTTAAAATGGCTAAAATGGTGGGTTACAAGTTATGTGTATTTTGCCACATTATTAATTAAACATATATCTGGGCCCGGGGATGTGGCTCAGTGGTAGAGCACTTGCCTGGCATGTGTGAGGCCCTGGGTTCCATCCCCAGCTCTGCAATATATATCTCACCATCCAGGTATGGTGGCACATGCTTGTAATCCTGGCTACTCAGGAGGCTGGGGCTGGAGGTTCACAACTTAGGGGCTAGCCTCAGCAACTTAATGAGACCCTCAGCAACTTGGTGAAACCTTGTCTCAAAATAAAAATGAAAAGGGCTTGGAGAAGTGTGGCTAGGTGGTAGAGTACTCGCCTAGCTTGTGTGAGGCCCTGGGTTCAGTCTGCATACTGGAGAAAAAGAAAAAAAGAAAAAAAGGAGGAGGAGAAGAAGGGAGATAAAAAAGAGAGGAGGAAGAGGAGAAGGAAGAAGAAATATATATGAAGGAAATATGCTAAATGCTGTCAAGAGTTAAAACCTAAGGCTGGGGCTGGGGCTCAGGGGCACAGCACTTGCCTCTCACATGTGAGGCACTGGGTTCAATCCTCAGCACAACTTAAAAATAAAATAACGGTATTGTGTCCATCTACATTATAAATATACAAGTAAACATTTAAAGAAAAAAAGAGTAGAACCTAAGTCTGAGTGATCAGACCAGAGGTTCTCAGATTTGAGCACAATTCAGAGTCACCTACAGGTGACTTGGGAACGATGGCCCCTGGCTGGAGCTGCTTTCGGATTCTGTTATTTGGGGGTGGGGTCTGCATTCCCCAGGTGATGCTGGCCTGTGCTTCTAGGGGCCTGGGGGTGGCTGTCGAGAGCCACTGCACCAGACAACTGCTTGGACTTTTCTGTAGGTTTGGAAATGTTCACAAGAAAGGGTGAGAGCCCGCGGGAGAGGTGGGAGGCTTGCTGGGGGAGCAGGGCCTGAGGGTCGCCCCCGGGTTTTCTCAGGGTGAGCCCAGGTCCCAGGGGAATGTGCTCCAGGCTGCCCAGCCCTCAAGACCATGGTGGGCAGCCTGGGTCTCTGGGGAGTGTGGGGCAGAGCCTGGCACAGGGTGGGGTCTCGCCTGGGATCTACCTGCCCAGGGGAAGTGTGGCCAGACGGGGAGCCCGGGAACCCTGGGCTGGGGGCTCAAGATGAGAAGGGCCTGGAGCAGTTGACAGGGGGCTGGGAGGCGTTCGAAGGCAGTTCGAGAACACAGGGCTGGGTTTGTTGGGGAGATGAGCTTTCCTCTTTGGTGGTGGCGGTGGTGGTGGGAGGCATTTTGGCGACGGAGCCTTGGGCGTTGGGGCTGAGGTAGGATAGACTCCCGTTTACTCAAGGCTGGTTCCAAGACCTGCTGGGCAAGGTTCTGGGTGGCCGGGAGAGGCACCCTACTCACAGGAAGCTGGGTCTGTGGCCAAGTCCACTACCACCCTGGGTCTCAGAGTCCTCATCTGAGAACCTTCCAGGACTGGGGTGTAGGTTAATCAGTTAACCATCATCGTGCACAAGGGCTCACTCGTTAGTGCTAACGCGGAAGTGCTTCTCTGTGCCCGGTACACGGTCAGCTACCATCATCGCCACCAAGGTCAACGTCAAGGTCAGCACATTATAATCCTCTTCTTCACACCAGCCACATAACCCTCAGACCAACTGTCACCTTGACTGTCACCACCACCTCTCTGTCATCCTCTCCACCTCATCACCACCGTCACCCGTCGTCACTGTTCTCGTCTCCATCATCTCCCCTCTCATACCATCATCACGGTCATCACGTGACGGCTCAACTGTGAGGTGTCCCCACGAGCTCAGCTGTGGGACCTGCAGGAAAGCTCAGAGGGGAGGCCACTAGGTGACGAGAGCCTTACCTAGCAGCACTCTGACCCCTGGTAGGAATTAACTGGGTGGTGACTGTATGCACCTCGGGAATGGCTGGAGGATGTCACTGGGCTGTGCCTTTTCGACCCTGGTGAGTGGGGCTCTCTGCCTCCTGGCTGACCTGTCCTGAGCTGCTTTCCTGTGCCGCGCCCCTCCACCACGGCGCTCTGCCTCACCTTGGGCCCAGAGCTGTGGAGTCAGCCAACCACGGGCTGAACCTCTGAACCATGAGCCCCCAGGAACTTCCCCTTCTCTCTGGGTTTTCTTTCTTTTCGTCTGTAGCAGGGATTGAACCCAGGGACAGTTCACCACTGAGCCACATCCCCAGCCCTTTATATTTTTAAGTTTGAGACAGGGTCTTGCTAAGTTGCTTAGGGCCTCATAAGTTGCTGAGGCTGGCTTTGAACTCTCGATTTTCCTGCCTCAGCCTCTGGAGTCCGAGTTGTTGGGGCCACAGGTGTGTGCCACCTTGCCAGGTGTCTATATTGTTCCTGTGAGGTCTTTTGGTCACAGCAATAAAAAGCTGAGTAGAGCGCTGTCACCACCATCACCCCCATCCTCAGTGCCATCACCATCAGGTGGGCAGGGAAGCTGGGTCCAGGCAGGACTGACCACCACCGGCACAGAGGGTGGGCCCCGACCACAGGCTGTTCACCTCTCTCAACCTCCTCCTCTGTGACACAGGGACAAAGACAGAACCTTCCAGGGAGATTCTCGGGAGCATTCAGTGACATGCAGTATGCCAAGGCCCCAGCAAATGTCCTGGCCCACAGCAAGGTACTTGTTACTGTCCTGTTTAGAGGGGAACACGGGGGGAGGGTCTGGGAGGGAGGTGGACTGAGACTGAAGCTGAAGGACAGAGGCCCCCAGGCCCCCGCGGAGACGGGGAGGGCGGTGCTGGGCAAAGGGAGCAGGCCACAGACCAGCAGCCCAAGGGTGGGGCTGGTGGGGAGGGGGAGAGCCCAGGAACAGGGCAGGGGCCATGGAGAGTCTAGGGAAATACCTGAGCAGAGGGGATGAGTGGGTCCTGCCTGGGAGCAGGAGTGGCAGCCTGACTCTAAAGTGCGGCAGGGGCTGGGTGTGCCGGCCAGGGCTGAGGACAGGAGGGTCACAGGTTCAAGGGCAGTCTCCCAATTTAGTGAGGTCCTGTCTCAAAATAAAAAATGAAAAAGGCTGGAGATGGGGCTCAGGGGTGAAGCACCCCTGGGTTCTGTCCCTCGGACAACAAATAATAAAAAATAAAAGTAAAATAAAAACTCACTAAAACACCCCGTGGGATCCCCCCCCACCCCCCGCCCTGGTGGCGTCTTCATTGTCCCTGCCCAGGACCAGGGCGGCTCTCAGTGCAGCCTCACTCCTAGGCTCTGTGCAGAGAGCAGCCAGAGACCCCCGCCCAGCGCCTGTGCTCACAGCCAGGCCCCCGGCTCCACGCTGGCCTGAAGCTGCCGCTTATCCCAGCCTCGGGCCTTCACCCAGGCTCTGCCTGGCCTCCTCCCTCAGCCGTCCAGGGCCTCCCCGCAGCCCCTGCTGGTCTTTCCGGAACACCACCTCCTCTGGGAGGCCTCCCTCAACACACCGCGCCGCCCCCGCACTCCCCGTCCTCCCTCTCTCCAAGCCTGCGTCCCCTTCTAACAGATCCATAGATTTTTAAATGGAGGCAAAATGTACCCAAAGCCACCATTTCAGAGAGTGCAGGAGACTGGGGGGGTGGGGGGGTGAATACGAGCACGACCACGACGTGTGCAGCCACCACCGCTCCCCAGCGCCCAGGCTTCCATCACTCTCAAGGCAAGCCCTAACCTGCGAGCCCCCCCAGCGGCCCTGGGGCTGCCTTAGGCTCTGTCTATGGATCTGCCTGCTATGGAACTGGAGTCCCGCACAACGCTGCCCTTGGTGGCTCACCACCTTCCCTTAGCACCACGTTTCAAGGTCGTCCATGCACGCAGTGATATTTACTTGGGTCCTTCCTTCCTATCTGCCACCCCCATGAGGACCCTTACTTTAGGAAGGTAGGGGTCTCCAGGCCATGGCACAGGCCAAGCACACAGGGGCACTCAATAAATGCATACTGAATGACCCTTGATCCAGCTCTC